TGCAAAACACTGATAAAAGAAATCATAGATAACACAAACAAATAGAAATAATCTCTTGCTCATGGATTAGAAGAATCAATGGTGTTAAAATGTCCATACTGGCCCAAGTGATTTACAGATGCAATATAATCCCCTTAAATTGCCAACATCATTTTTCACAAAAGTAGAGAAAACAATCTTGAGTTTAATATGGAATCAAGAAGAGCATGAATAGCCAAAGCAATCCTAAGCAAAAAGAACAAGGCATCACATTATCCAACTTCAAATTATACTACAAGGCTACATATAGTAATTAAAATAGTACAGTACTAGAATTAAAGTAGACACATATATCAGTGGAACAGAATAGAGATCCTAGAAACAAAACCAACTACAACCAACTGATTATTGACAAAGTGGACAAAAATATACACTGGGGAAATAATACAGTATTCAATAAAAGGTGCTGGGAAAATTGGATAGCCACATGCAAAACAATGAAACTGGATCACTATCTCTCATTATATACAAAAATTAACTGTAGGTGGATTGATGACTTAAAGGCCTGAAACTATACAAATTCTACAAAAAAAAGGGAAAACTCTTCTGGACATTGGCCTAGGCAAAGAATTTATGACTAAAACTCAAAAATAGAGCAACAACAAAAATAAATAAATGTGACCTAATTAAACTAAAAAGTTTCTACACAACAAAGGAAAATAATCAACAGTAAATAGGTAATCTGTAGATGGGAGAAAATATTCACAAACTATACATCCAACAAAGAACTAACATCCAGGATCTACAAGGAACTCTAACAAATCAGCAGGAAAAAACCAAATAACTCCATTTACAAGTAGGCAAAAGGGCCGGGCATGGTGGCTCACACCTGTAGACCTAGTGCTGTGGGAGGCCAAGGTGGGTGGATTGCCTAAGCTCAGAGGTTCAAGACCATCCTGAGCCAGAGTAAGCCAGATGAGACCCTGTCTCTACCAAAAAAAGCCAGGTGTTGTGGCAGGCACCTGTAGTCCCAGCTAAGGGCAAGAGAATCACTAAGGAAGAAAAGAAAAAAATAATTAAAAATAAAAAACTTCAAACTAAGATGAGTGAAAGCCAGTTGAAATTGAAAGCAAAATTCAAAAGTCAAAAAAAGCAAGTGGGCAAAAGATACAACAGTTTTTTCAAGATATACAGATGAAGTACAAATATGAAAAAAATGATCAACATTGGCTTTGTGCCTGTAACTCAGTGGCTGGGGCACCAGCCACATACACAGAAGCTGGCGGGTTCAAATCCAGCTCTGGCCTGCCGAACAACAATGACAACTACAACAACAACAAAAAAAAAAATAGCTGGACGCTGTGGCAGGCTCCTGTAGTCCCAACTACTCAGGAGGCTGAGGCAAGAGAATCGCTTAAACCCAAGAATTTGAGGTTGCTGTGATCTGTGACTCCATGGCACTCTACCAAGGGTGACCAAGTGAGACTCTGTCTCAACGGAAAAAAAAAGATCAATATCACTGACCATCAAGGAAATGAAAATTAAAACCACAATGACACCTTATCCCTGTCAGAATAGTTATTAATAAAAAGTCAAAAAAATTGATGCTAGTGCCAATGTGGTAAAAAGGAAATGCTTATACATAGTTGGTAAGAATATAAATTAGCACAACCTCTATGGAAAATAGTATGGCAATTCCTCAATGAACTAAAAAGTGACCTGCCATTTGATCCAGCACTACTAGAGATCTACCAAAGGGCAAGACATCATTATATCAAAAAGATACCTGCACCTGAATGTTAATCTCAGCACAATTCACAATTGGCTTGAGATATGGACTCAACCAAAGTGCCCATCTGATGAGCGGATAAAGAAAATATCTACTCAGCCATAAAAAGGAATGAAATTTCTTTTGCAGCAACTTGGATGGAACTGGAGATCATCATCATAAGTGAAGTGTCTCAGGAATGGAAAAATAAATGCCATGTGTTCTTACTTACAAGTGGAAGCTAAATGATGGATATATGTGGTCATAAAGTGCTGTAATAGGCCTTGGAAACTAAGAAGGGGGAAGGTGGAAGAGGGTTTAGGGACAAAAAGTTACCAGCTGAGTACAATGTACACTATTTGGGGAAAAGGTACATTAAAAGCCCTGGTTTCACCACTATACAATTAATTTATGTAACAAAAAACATACCCCTTAAATCCATTGAAATAAATTTTACAAAAAAGAAAGCACAAAAATAGACATTACTTCAAAAAAATGACAGGGAGAAAACATGTTTGTGTGAAGATATGAATTCAGCTTGGGACATTTTAAGTTTGCAATTTGTCTGGGGCATGGGGTTCCTCTGAATGACAGCTATTGGATACATGGCTCTGAGATATGGGGGCAACATCTGGCCTACAGGTGGAGATATGAGAGCCACAGGTACCCAGGAAAACAATGGAGGGAATGATGAAGAGGGTAAGGGCATGCTAGAGAATAATCCCTCTTCTCCCCTAGGCAGGACCCTTTGTTACAGGTCCCTTCATGCCCACATGCCCTCATCAACACCCCGTTTCTGCTCATGATGTTCCTCCAGGCTACAGGGCCCTGAGGGGACATCTCTTTCTGTACACCCCTGGGATCCTGCTGACTGGCTAAGTCAGAGTCTGGGAGCTCCAGAGAGTTCCCCAGGGAGGAATGCCATGGATTTAACAGCATTCAAGGAACCAAGGCCTGGAGCAAACTGGTCTTACTACTCTCAGTCTGTGTAAGTTCTGGTGAGTAACAAAGTTAATGCTTGGCTAGGCAAGAGGCTGGGCAGAAGCTTTCACCTTGAGTGTTGTAGGTGCAGAGGGAGACACAGGGACTGAAGGCTCCCCCAGATGTTTTCACACCTGTAATTTCTCCTAGTAATTATATTCAGCAAGCTACTTCACACAGTAGCTTAAGCTGGAAAAATGCTTTTTGTGGCACTATAGGTGGGGAGGAGGAATCCTTGCTTTTCCCCCTCTCTCTCCCCACATCCAATCCTATCAGGCTTGCATTGTAAAGTTTTCAACTAGATGGTTCTTGAATTCTCTGAGTCTTGGGTCTCTCTGAGTTTCTGGTTCTCTGATCCTATAATCCAAGTGGGGACCGAGGAAGGATAAGGACAACCAAATTTCCTGTTTCCTATCATTGAGGTTGTCCAATACCAAGTATTTGTTGAGATTCTGCCTTCCTTTTGGCTCTCTATACTTGCCTATGAGAGCCCCAGCCCAATACTAAGGTATATGGCTCAGCCTTGGGTGCAGGGTCTTTGCTTCTATTACCCTCCTCTCTTCCCCCCCCCCCCCCCCCCCCCCCCCCCCCCCCCCCCCCCCCGCCCCGTGACAGCCTCAGAAGGCCCATGGGAAGTGTTAGCCATATGCAAGGCACCACTCTGAAGTCTGGAGGTCTGGGTGGCCCAGAATGGAGTTTTCAGTCAGCTTTTGAAGTGGAGCAAAAAGGTAAACAAAGAAGGGCTTTGTCAGTGTTGGGCAGATGAGCAATACGAAGAAAGAACCAAGACATTGCTCACTTTCCATTTTATTTTGATCCGCATATCATGAGAAAGTAACTTGAAAGTAGAAAAGGCAGAATAAAAAATGTCTGAAAGAACTAAAGCCCATGCCCTGTCATGGTCAGAGATCATAAGAGATGATCAGTAAAATTCAAGTCTCCTGCTTAGACAAAGTACCTACACTTCCTGAACAAATCTAAACATGTGTTTAGGATTTCCTTCCAGTGTATCCATGAGAAATCTTTGGAAAAATATGAATTTTGAGGATATGCAAGGGAAAGAGCTAACGTCAATTATAGATTATTAAACTTAGAGCTGATCCTTGTCAAACATGTAAAATAGATTTCGTATAAGCAGTGAGAAAAGAAAAAAGGTTATCTCTAAACATCTGCATATCAGTTCTGTTTTATACACTTGCTAAAACTGAGAGAACCTACTATACTTGAACTGAGTAAATCATTTGCCAGGCTTGGCTTTCCTTAATAAATCTTTCCTTCATTCCTCCCAATCTATACCAGGCACAGTCACATCTCCATCCACCATGCTTCTGAATCTGTACAAAACTGTTCTATAGCTCTCCTTACACTGGAAGAGCAAAACTCCAAAGGGGACACTGGAAAAGCAAGGTTTTTATTCTCCATTCGTATGTGATCTGTGTTGCTCCTTGGATGAAATTGCAAAATGTTTCTATTATGACCTTGTTCATTCCTAAATAATCTTAAAGAATCTTTGGATCACTTTTAATTTCATAAACAATCTAATATAAGGGATCCAAATAGCCACTCCCACTTAATGATAAAAGCCCTAAACTTTGAATTAAATGTTGCCTCACCTCCACCTCCACCATACCAACATCAAGCTGGGAAATGAGAGCTAGTGAGCTCTGGCCCTAAACCTTTCCCCACTGCATTCTTCCCTCTCCCTAGTTTTCAACCTGCAGCTTTTCACCTCCTGATCAAAAAAAGGGAAAGTAGATGAAGAGTAGAAATGGCCTCAATTGACCTGGCACTGGTCTATCTTGGGTTTGCTGTAGGGTGAAACAGATAATTTTTGGAATGCATTTCTTGAGTATACTGCCGCACACTTAATTTTGACCATTGCTCGTCATTACTAGCCCACTCAGTAGAATGCAGACTCACCCAGGGAACAAAAACGTTGCCCACTGTTGTACTCCATGCACCCAATATATGCCCTAACAGAAAAGTAGGTGCTCATTAAAAATGTGAAGAAAGAAATAAAGGAATAATCTGTAAATTTATAGAAACGAGGAAGCAAAATGGACAAACAGCCTATGGAATGATGTTATTTCTTGAACAATCTCATTATGTGATTAAAAATAACATTTCTTTTCTCTCTAGGAATATCAGAGGCTCATGGAGGTCAAAGTCCCCAGGGTACCCTGGTGAGGCTAGGTCTCTCCAGGACTGGGTACAGACACCAGACCTCCTTCCCCTACCCACTCCCCAGAGCCATCCTGTACTCCTAGGGAAGATGTTGGTGTGGAGCAATGGAAGCTCCAATACATCCTACACCAGCTTCTTCCTGGTGGGCTTCCCAGGGTTGCGAGAGTCCCGTGCCTTCCTGGTGCTGCCCTTCCTCAGCCTCTACCTGGTGATCATCTCCGCCAACACCCTGGTCATCCACACAGTGGTGGCCCAGCGCAGCCTGCACCAGCCCATGTACCTGCTCATTGCCCTGCTCCTGGCTGTCAACCTCTGTGCTGCCTCCACTGTGGTGCCCGCCATGCTCTTGAGCTTCTCCCCACACTTCAATCGCATCTCCCTGCCTCGCTGCCTGGTCCAGATGTTCTGCATCTACTTCCTCATTGTCTTTGATTGCAACATCCTCCTGGTCATGGCCCTGGATCGCTATGTCGCCATCTGCTACCCTCTCCGCTACTCAGAGATAGTGACAGGCCAGCTACTGGCTGGCCTGCTGGGGTTGGCAGCTGCCAGGAGCACATGTATTGTTGCTCCGGTGGTTTTTCTGGCCTCCTGGGTTCGCTTCTGCCGCTCAGACGTGATCCACCACTTTGCCTGTGAGCACATGGCCCTAATGAAGCTCTCCTGTGGGGACATTTCCCTGAACAAGACTGTGGGGCTTACCGTTCGCATCTTCAACAGAGTCCTAGACATGCTCCTACTAGGAGCCTCCTACTCCCGTATCATCCATGCCGCCTTCAGGATTTCCTCGGGTGGAGCACGTTCCAAGGCACTGAACACCTGTGGCTCTCACCTCCTGGTCATCTTCACTGTCTACTCCTCAACAATGTCCTCATCCATCGTCTACCGTGTGGCCCGCACTGCTTCCCAGGATGTGCACAACCTGCTCAGTGCCTTCTACCTGCTGCTTCCGTGTCTGGTCAACCCCATCATCTATGGTGCCAGAACCAAGGAGATCAGGCAGCACCTGGCAACTCTGTTCCAAAAACCACAGCTGTAGGTCCCCACTGAGAAGCCTCTGCCCTCACATAGCGAGTTACCCAGCTGATTTCTGAGAGTTGTGTGGCTGATCCAATGAAGGAAGAAGAATTTTGTGAGACATCCTTGCTACATTTTGGCTTAGCTATTTGCACTTATCTTTGAGATGCTTAAACATGTATTCATTTTCTGAAAAATAGCTACTCATTCAGAGTTTGTAGTAATCAGCTACAAAAGAAGCTTGTCTCTGGCTTGTAAGTTCTCTCCCCTTCCTTCTGCATATGAGTCTCATTCAGTCACTCATTCGTTTATTCATCAGATGTTTATTATACATATGTTATATCCATTATGTATTATATACATATTATGTAACTTTATGACAGCAGAAAAAGAAAAAAAACTCAGCCTCTTCCCTGAGGGAGGTTCCAATCTAGCATGCTATAAAGAGATGTAATATTTATTTATAGTACTAGATTCTGTGGGAACACAGAGGAGGGGACACTCATAAAACTAAGACCACCGCACAGAGAAGGTGAATTTGAGTTAGATTTGAAGAATATTTATTAAAGTGTTCTCTGGAGAGGAAGGAGAAGGGGAAAACAAAACTCATTCTAGGTAAAAAGGAACAGCACAAAGGCAGAGGGGGACAGACAAACTCAGCAGGAAGGAAGTACACTGGTTGTCCCATGTTTCCCCAGCACAGAGAGAATATGGGGCATGGAAGAAATAAGGCTGGATGGATAATAAAAGGTGTAAACAATGGCACCCAAAGGCCAGGCTGCAGAAGAGAAGTTGAGGCCAGGTTAACTAAAAAGGGGGGGTGACCTGCTTAGGCAGTGCAAAGATGGTATCTGCACCCAGGGGACAGTTAGAGGCCTCTTTTATATGGGGCCATGGGTGGGTGGGCACATTCTACAGGTTGCCTGTCAGGTTAGGGTCTTTTGGCATGAACTTCTGTGGGTAGGGCTAGCAGATCCTTTGTATATTCATCTTAGGAGAAGAGGAAGAGGAGGAGGGGAAAAGGATTTGTATGTGGCTATGTTAGGCACCCCTTAACAGGTAGGCAGAAGCCAGATGATGAAAGGCATTGTATGTTGTGATAATCAATTTGAGTTTTTAGTCCAGATAGTAAGCATTCAAAAGTCCAAATCAGGGACCTAGCCAGATCATATTTGTGTTCCAGAATAACTCTGCAGTCACATCAGAGTACGGATTAGAAGGAGATAGGCCTGTAGGCCAAGAGACTGAACAGGAAACTGTTTCACTAGTCCACATGAGCAACTACAGTATCCTGAACCTGACTAGTGACAGCAAGCATGAAGGGAGGTGGACAGATACAAAAGAAATCAGAAGGTTGAGTTTGTATGTAAGGGCCAGAAAGGCAGAAGGAAAGTGAGGAGAGAATGGCTTCATCAAAGCAAGGGGAGGGGACGATGTGAAGAAGGTTGGAGGGTCATCAATGCTAGATCCTCTGAGGGTCCTTTGACACAGTAATGAACAGGTTTAGTAAGGACAGTTCCTTTCTTCAGGCCCTGAGGATACAATGAAAAGCATGAGATGATCCTCACCTTCATGGGATTTAAAGTTCAAAGATCCATAGGCATTAGCCACCAATTTCAATGCAGTAGAATGGTAGGGCCTGGAATAAAACCACCATGATTCTGGGGAGAACATAGAGAAGAGCAGATAAAAGGGAAGGTAGAGAAGAGGATATTGGCAAACTTTGCATAGTAGAAAAAATGTGAGACTTGGAGGGGGGAGATCTGAATTTTATTTTTGGCTCAGCCACTTACAGATGTGAGACCATGAAGCAAGCTTGGACTTCTGAACATTAGTTTTCTTATCTGCAAAATGAATCATAGTATTACCTGCCTGATAGGGAGAGGAGAAGCCAGTTAAGAAGAAAGCTAAGGGATGATCCATTAAGAGAGGTTCCCGATGAGAACTAGAGGAAAGCTGAATCTTGAGAGAAGGAAGACCCTCCTTTTCTGACATACAGTTGATTCTTGAGAAATGGGGAGTTAACTGACCCTCCATGCAGTAGAAAATTTACATACATGTATACTTTGACTCCTCCCCCAAACTAAACTACTAATAGCCCACTGTGACCAGAAGCCTTACTGATAAACATAGATGATTGATTAACACATACTTTGTATGTTATATCAATTATATACTGTATTCTTCAATAAAGTAAGCTATAGAAAAGAAAAAACTCTTAATAAAATTGGAAGGAAGAGAAAACAAATTATTCATTAAGGGGGAAAATAAAGGTGCCCATCTTCACAGTCTCCATGTTGAATAGGCTGAGGAAGAGGAAGGGTCGGTCTTGCTGCTTCAGGGGTGGCAGAGATGGAAGAAAATCCATGTGTAAGTGAATTCGTGCTGTTCAAAGCCATGTTGTTCAAGGGTCAACAGCAGAAAGAAAGGAGTACAGAGGGATGCAGAACTTCACACTTGTGCTGTTTCTCCAGAGACTCTTAGCAGTCAAAGAACCACTTTCATCCAGTTGTCAGAATCAGAGAAACAAGAGTGCTGGAGGGAGAGTGACCACGCTGCCTGCCACCCAAGCGTGAGGAGGGCAGAGAAGACAGGAGAACAACTAAGGAAAGATTAAAGGCTTAGAAGTCATCATGATAGATAAAAGCAGGGAAAGCAGGGGGAAGGAATAAGGTGGCTGGAAAGAAAATACTAAAATACAAGAGTTCAGAAATGATGTTTCTACATGATGATCCAGGGTACGACCATAATATTTGCGGCCAGGATTTCATGGAGAATATGTCAGTCACCTGTGCTGAAGGAGGCAAATAACAAGCAAGGATGCTGCCTGGATCATCGACATGAGTGAATTTTTACTGTAGTTCCACATTGTGTCATGAGTTGGGCAGAGAAGACAGACTGAGTCAAGGTCCTCTATGCAAACAGATAAACAACCTTGAAGCTGTTAGATGACAGTGATGAGGAAAAAGGGGACATAACATTGGGAAAAGAGCAATTTTAGGCAACACTTGGGAGCCTTTGAAAATGCCACTGTACTCTATCCTGGGCAACAGAGTGAGCCCCTGTCTCAAAAAGAGGGACAGAGAGACGACAGAGAAAAGAAAAGGAAAAGAAAGGGGGAAAAAAGAGAGATAATATTCACACAAATAAAATTATAAATGAAAAAGAAACATTATAGGACAGCACCTGTGGCTCAGAGGAGTAAGGCACTGACCCCATATGCCAGAGGTGGCGGGTTCAAATGCAGCCCTGGCCAAAAAATGCAAAAAAAAAAAAAAAAAGGAAACATTATAACATATGCTATAGAAATAGAAAGGATTATAAGAGACTATTATGAACAATTATACAAGCTGGAAAAAATAGTTCAAGACTAGCCTGAGCAACATAGCAAGACCCCACCCATCTCTCCAAAAAATAATTAGCTAGATGAGGTAGTGTGTGCCTATAGTCCTAATAGTCCCAGCTAAAAAACATGTACAAGGATATTTATAGTTAGCTGGGCATTATGGTTGGTGCCTGTAGTCTCAGCTACTTGGGAGGCTGAGGCAAGTAGATTGAGGTTGCTGTGATCTAGGCTAAGGCCATGGCCCTTTAGACCAGGCAACAGAGCGAGACTGTCTCAAAAAGAAAAAAAAAAGAATATAGTGTCATTGTCCCTAGTTGTGAAAAACTAGCAATACCATAATTTTTTTAATTTAATAGAATATGTAAATAGATTATAGAACAATCCTACATTGGAATCCTATCGACCATAAAATAGTCAGGTGTGGTGGCTCACGCCTGTCATCCTAGCACTCTGGGAGGTTGAGAAGGGAGGATTGCTTGAGCTCAGGAGTTTGAAACCAGCCTGAGCAAGAACAAAACTCCTTCTCTACTTAAAATAGAAAAATTAGTCAGGCATTGTGGTGGCCACCTGTAGTCCCAGCTACTTGTGAGGGAGGTCATCTGCAAGGAAGATGACTTAAGCCTAGAAGTTTGAGGTTGCTGCAAGCTGGGCTGATGCCATGGCCCCCTAGCCCAGGCAACAGAGTGAGACTCTGTCTCAAAAATAAAAAGTAAAACCTAAAATAAACTACAGTTACATACAATATAAATGAATTTTGCAAACATAATATTGATTTTTATCATGTTTTTCTAAATGTCTTCAAGATAGAATAGACTATTTTCAAAGCTCCAAAATAGGCTGGGCACCATGGCTCATGCCTGTAATTCTAGCACTCTGGGAGGCCGAAACAGGTGGATTGCTTGAGCTCAAGACCAGTCTGAGCAAGAGCCAGACCCCATCTCTAAAAATAGAAAAATTAGCCAGGTGTTGTGGCAGATGCCTGTAGTCCCAGCTCCTTAGGAGGCTGAGGCAATAGAATCACTTGAGCCCAAGAGTTTGAGGTTGTTGTGAGCTATGACACCATGGCACTCTACCTAGGGCAACCAAGTCTCAAAAAACAATAAATAAATAAAAGCCCCGAAATTACAAGATATTGTGGGTTTATAATTAATGTAGAAGTAAAACGTATGGCAATGATAACAAGAAAACTGATGGGGAGAAATGAAAGTTCATGTAAGGATCTCATCTGTGAAGTGGTGCAACATTACTGGAAGATAGATTTGATAAATTAAAGGTGTGTGCGATAAACCCTAAAGTGACCACTAAAATAATACAACAAAGGAAATGCTAATAAACCAAAAAAGGAGATAAAAGAGAATCAGTTTTGTTTTTTATTTTTTTTTTTTTTGAGACGGAGCCTCAAGCTATCCCCCTGGGTAGAGTGCCATGACATGCCGCTCACAGCAACCTCCAACTCCTGGGCTCAAGCGAGTCTCCTGCCTCCGCCTCCCAAGTAGCTGGGACCACAGGCGCCCGCCACAACGCCCGGCCATTTTTTGGTTGCAGCCATCATTGTTGTTTGGCGGGCCCGGGCTGGGGATTCAAACCCGCCACCTTAGGTGTATGTGGCTGGTGCCTTAAGCCGCTTGAGCCACAGGCGCCCAGCCGAGAATCCGTTTTTTAAAAATCCAAAGGAG